TTAGAGATTAAATACTTATATATTTTTAGTATTTATTCCTATGTGAAATATGTAGGAGATATTGCGTGTTGGCTGTTAAAAGAAAATGTAATGAGCAAGATGAATAGAAAAAAAGCTGCAGGACTATAAAAATAAGTAGCAATATCTCTTTTATTGTCAAGGAGTTTTAGCGACCTGAGAACAGTTTTTGCAAAGTGGGAACAGTTTTTAAATGCTGTCAGTGCTTTTCGAACTTCTTATTTTTTACTGTAGATGGTTTTTAACTAGGTGCTAAAAGTCTTAGTTGCATGGGGACAGTTTATTTAATAGCCTTTTAATTTTTTTTCGTTGAAATTCTCATTTTCAAAAGCACACCAGAAAAAACAATAAGCTGAAAATGACGTGTGTTGACTTACTGTTTGACAACAGTGAAATTATTGATTTTAGGGTATTGAATAAACAAACTGTACAAAAATTAAAAAAAAACAAATTTTAAATGGTATACTTTTAAAAAATCATACAGAGTTAAGGTCTGATTAAGGGAACTTAACTTAACTTGACGTAACTTGGAACTTAGAAAATCAAGTTGAAATAGACTTGGGCGTTGCGTTAAGTTACGTTACGTTTTCCCTTTAAAATATAAGCAACATCGATTTAAGACAATTTTTAAGGGACAGCGTCTAAGTTACGTTAAGTTGCCATAATCAGGCCTTTGGTTTTTTTTATAGAAAAAGTGTACGCGGAGCTTGCTCGCGTTTTATTAGAAAATCAAACATTTTTATTCAATAGAATTTTATAATTCTTTTTTTGTTAGCTGAGATAAAAGCCAAATATGTATATTTTTTAAAAAATTAAGGTATGAGATTACTTTTTCTTCTAAAGAAATTATTGTTGTTTGTCTTCTTTCAAAATTTTAAAATAAAAAATTAAATATCGCCTAGTAAACCTGTTTGTCGGCGTGTTTCACATATTTTCGTCTTAGGTAAATGCAAAAAAATCGGAGACATTTCAAGCAATAGTTTAGCAATGACAACATTTTTTTTTTAATGGAAATACATAGTTTAAAATTTGCCAGAAAACGGTGAAATCATTTAAAAGCATATTCAAACTTGGAAGTTTTACCAAAGTGTAAATTCGATGTAGTGTGAACAGTTTTTTCCTATTAAATCAGCTTAAAATAGTGTTACATATGAGCCATGCTCTAGAATATATATAAAACAATGTTTTACGACAATGAACACAGTTCTTGTCTGAATGAGAATAGGTTATAATCGAAATAAAATAGTAAAAATAGAAAAAACTGGTATTTTTGCGCTGGATATCAATGTAATATTTACTTGACAAAAAACATTTTCTTTATGGGAACAGTATATCTACAAGTGTTTGCTTGCCAAAGCTCCTGAGCTTATTCCTTTGGTTTTTAGATAAATTAATTTTTAGGGAGTATCCTCGCTAGTTTTTCTACTCTAAAAAATTCCCTCACCCAAATATTTAATGGGGCTTCTTTCTCTACTCAAACCATTTCTATTGAATGGAAACCATTTAAGGCTTCATTACGCCGAACAGTTAAGTGAAATAAATNCAATCGTATAGAAGACAACAAAAAGTAGATAGCAGATAGCGAAATAGCACTACCAATACTCAAGCAACATTCAATAATGACAGTCAATGAAGCTAGTGCCAAGAAACTTTCCAATTACTCTGTCTACTTGCAGTGACAATAATGTTAACTATACACCATAATGACTCGAAGCAACTGAGGAACAGTGTGTTGCCAGTAGAGTTAAAGGGGGTAGTGGGAGTATAAGAAAAAATTGATAGACAATTTGCCATTTTAATTGTCGCAATTTTTCAGTGCAGCGAATACACACGCTAACACATATGGTAATACATATTTACGTATGTACGTATGTATTTAAGTGCATATGCAGTTTGTGAGTGTAGACAGCAACCAACCATACGAGTGCACAAGTACCAATTTCCACTGACAACTCGCCTCATTTGCTCACACATCGTCCGCCTCGCATGCCCTGTACGCTGCATTACCCCCGATTGTCGAAATAATATCAATTTCACTTGATTTTGGGCATTTTAGCTAGGGATGCAAATTTTCAGAGCCAACATCGATACATCGATATTTCGATGTATCGTAAACACTAACATCGATGCCGAAAAAAATCGCCCTAAAACTATCGATACATCGATATTTTCCGATGTTTCTCTTTTTTAATAAGTATGTTACAGGTACTTCATGATTTGCAGGTTTTTACAGGAAGCTGTTAAGCGCTTCATAAGTTTAAATGGCGAAAACCGCTTTACCTGTAAAACCTGCAAATCCTGAAATACCTGGAACTGACTTAATGCTTGTTAAAATTTCAAGAAAAACCTAGTGTCCATCTAAACTGCTCTGTTAAGATTTCAATGGGTGGTTTTTTGATTTTAATTAGATTTCCTTCCAATGTCATAATAGATTTGCTGTATACGCGCAGATAATACTTACACTCACCTTAAGTCGTATTGAAATATTGTAACTACACTCTTGTTATCAAATTAATAAATAAAATACAAGTAATGTAACATAAATACGTATTTGTGTGATTTTATTATACTTATGTAGACTTAGTCTTCTTTGATTACATATAAGTATGTACGTGTATGCAGATATACATATATATATTCAAGTATATGTACATTAAAGAATGTATGTACGTACATGCCAGTTATACTGACTCATATCAATAGCTTAAACATATTTTACATTTATTTAAACATTTCGTTTTAAAGTTCCTGGTAGGTATACAATGAAATTAATGTTGGTTGGCAAAAAGTAAACAGCGATAGCGATCACTTATAAAAATCAAATATTTTGCCGATTCACAAGGTATCATAACAGTCATATTGTCNGCGCTTGAGTTATAGTTGCTCCAGCTTTTGAAAATAGCCTTTCAGATGGTACAGATGTAGCAACAATTGGTAAATATTTAGCTGCAAGCTTGTGTAACGTGGGAAATACACCTCTGAGGTCTTCCCAAACCTCCACTCCATTTTGTTTTACATGTATGGAGTTAACAGGCGAAGCCAAGTACATCTGTACTTCAGAAGAAATATATCTATCAAATGGCAATGCAGACTGTTGCCTCTTTTTTATACTGTCAAGCGCTAAACGATTATGATATTCCCATATATCGAATTCTTTTCCTGCATGGCAATCCGAGTCACTGCGTTCAGGATAAGTGCTTCTAGGTCTTACAACAGCAGCATTTTCCATTAAAGAGTTTAAAGCGTTAATGGCTTTACTTTTGGCCAAAGCATCTTGTAAGTGTAATGTCTTAAACCTCGGATCCAAAACGGTAGCTAACGCTAAAATCGAATGGTGTTCCAGTCTATTAAATCTCTTAGCAATTTGTTGCTCAAACTCATATTTTAGTTTAACAGTAACGTTGTTTCTTGGTGTTTTTGTGTGGAGCACATCACGAACGCAACTAATGAGCGGAATTACTTTGCTGACTGTAACGTAATTTTCGGCGCACAACTNAACCACATCACGAACGCAACTAATGAGCGGAATTACTTTGCTGACTGTAACGTAACTTTCGGCGCACAACTCTTTCGTTATAGTTTCGAATGGCTTTAGAAGTTCAATAACTTCTTTAATTATATCTAATTCATTTCCTGAAATCATTGGGGGCGTATCAGAGCGTGAGAGTAAAATTTCGTTGATAGTACCAGCCAGTTCCACAAACCTCTGCAGCATATAAAAACAGGAGTTCCAACGCGTTTTGACGTCTAGAATAAGTTTTTTTATTTGGCCATCTGACACACCAGCGTTTTTTTGTTTTTTTCTTAGCTCGTCACTAGCGTTAACGGACCTTTTAATGTATTTCACGATTTCTCTTACATGCGAAATTATTGTTGAAACATCGGGTGATTTTTCTATAGCTTGGGTAACTACCAAATTAACAGTGTGTGCAAAGCATGTTATAATCTTTCTCTCTCCAAATAATTCTCGACTTAATTTTAGCATGGTACTGTCGTTATCTGACACCACTGCCACAACTTTCTCTGCACATATGCCCCATTCATCGAATATTTCTGTAAACTTTTTTTTTAGATAGTCCGCTGTATGACTTTGAGTTAGCTCAAAAACACCAATTGTTCCACTAACAAGTTTTGTTTTGTTTAGAAAATGAATAGTTATACCAGCCGACATTGCCAGATATTTTTCATCTATTCGTATCTTGAATGTCTCCCTACACGGAACTACAGTCTTCAACAATTGTAAGAAACCTTTTCCCTCTACAACTGANAAATGATGTGGTCTGCATCATTTCGGTCCATATATCGTAAGTCAACGAATAGTATTGCACTGTCTTAAGAGACTGCTTAAAAATGGTCGACATTGCCAGATATTTTTCATCTATTCGTATCTTGAATGTCTCCCTACACGGGACCTTGTATAGTGGAACTACAGTCTTCAACAATTGTAAGAAACCTTTTCCCTCTACAACTGAAAAGGGTTTGTTGTCATTTACTATGAAGTTGACTATTGCTTCGGTTATTTTTTGAAATCGCACTCCATCTTTGGAGCTTACGCTATTAATTTTTTCAAACAAGGTGTCTACAGCCGGTTGGAGCAATTCTAGTTCTCTTACGTCTTTAGATATGGAAGGAACACTTCCTTGACTCGAACAAATAGACGAACCAGTGGCTCTTGATTCCTGAACATCAGGATTTATGTCGATAAATTCCGGCATCTTTTTTTGGATTGCGACGGACTCAGTATTTTCTTGCAACCCACTTTCTAATTGTTGTCCATGGATTTTGTTTAGATGACAACGCAGGTTTGACGTATTGCCAGACGTTTTCAAAATTTTGTTACATAATGTACACTTTGCAGTGTTGCTACATTTTTTTTTGAAAAAAGCGCCAAACTTGACTTTTGCTTGACATTTTGAATCCAGCAAAACTGTTGGAAAATAGTTACAGTTAAAATATTTATTAATGTGCGGTAAACAAGTATATTTTTTGAGAGAACAAGTTTAAAAATGTGTTTATAATGCAAGCACTTTTCTTATTTGATGTTCAAAACTGGTATGTAATTTGGAGTATGACAGCTTACAGTTTATAGACATTAGTTCACATGTGTTCCTATAATTAAGAGACCTACATGGTGAAGTATAATTTTGGCAAAAGAATTATTTTGTGGGACCTACTTTCAAAGACAATGGATATAGTGTATGGGGTGGACCTCGAGTTTAAACAATTATAGGCTTTGTAACCCAGTAGTTCGTTTTTAATAATATTCAGAAATTTAAAAACATTACTTTGTGGTTTTGTGGTCATATAATTAAGTTACTTAGAANATATTTTTTGAGAGAACAAGTTTAAAAATGTGTTTATAATGCAAGCACTTTTCTTGTTTGATGTTCAAAACTGGTATGTAATTTGGAGTATGACAGCTTACAGTT